ACTCGGGTCCCGGATGAAGTGGCGTATGGAATCTACGAGTGGTTTAGTTCCCAGTAAAACACTCTTCTCCATATAATAAATAGGAGTACCCCCTGGGTATTCAGGAAGTAATTACAAGGGGAACAAGCTTTAAAAAACTTTAAATACTCCTTCCTTTTCAATGGAAACACTTGAGAAACAGTTAGAAAGATTTTAACCTCTTGGCTAACCCAGTCAAACTCATTCCTAGCTTACAACTAATTGAGTAAGTTTCTATTTTTAACTGATTAAACAGAATTAGCCGTGAGAGAACATTGCGGAGAGTCGACGGATTTCCTATTACAAAGTGGCAAGCAAACTCCACCTCTAGCTAACATATCACTGTATCTCACACAGCAGCACAAGGATTGCTCACTAGAATACTTTGTTTGTTAATTCTACCAAGAAAACCTTTTTGTTCGAGACCAAATCTTTAGCATAAAATAGCTAAATACCTCGTCCTCCGACTCGTTGTGTGGAACACCAAAACAGCTTCGAATTTCGACGGATGTTTTGTCCACTGACCCAAGGAGAGTCCCTATTACTCTTTTAGCATCTTCTGAACGCCTTTCGAAGCCATCCACGATGGAAAATAACACCATAGGATGAACAAACACTTTTCGGGCCCTCACAGATTCTGATGCCGCCATGTTGAATTGTACACATGCGTGATACTAGTCACCAGTTTCCCATCAACTGATTGGACCCTCGATCCGGTTGGTCAGCGTAATAATACTGAAAGGGAATAGATACGTGGTATAACAATCACATAGCGGTTTCCAAAGTCGATGTGCCAATTTGTGTCCATAACAGTTCATTGCCGGTCAATAACATGCAAAAAAGTTAGAATTGCCAGCGAGAGTCAAGAGATGGGAAAGGAAAACAATAAAGTGGTTGTAGTTTGTTCGACCAAAAACAAAAAGAATTATCCGTTTTTCCAGAGAAAATTCCAGTTAAAGGGAACGGCTGGTTTGTCTCAAACACGGATATGGTTAAATATCACCCGCTAGTTACATTGGCACAATATCTGGTCAAGAAATTAGATGACAAATTGCAAGAGAGACAGTTTGAACTCTTCAACACTCGTCTCACCCACTGCCCTGTCTCACCCACTGCCCTCTACTTGAGGCACATGGTGTTCAGCTCTCGCCTTGCAGCATATGAAGGTGTTGTGTTACAAAGGTTTGATTTTATAA